TGCCACCCTAAGTTACTGCTTCTGGTTCTACTGCATGATTATACAGAACATGTAGTACATGCTGGGACAACAGAGTATGGTGCCTATAAAGCAGGGCCCCTGCATAGGAGGGGCTTGCCATTTGATGGGGGAACTTGAGGCCATATCCACAAACTAGCACAAGGCCACAAATGCTGAGAGTTGGAGGAAGGACAGTTACTCTTTGCAGAAAGTGAGACTCACACAAGCAGAAATGAGAGTGTAAGATAATGTAAATGAAGATATAGCAGTTTACCACAAGAGTGCTTAATGCTGGCTGAATTCAAAGTCCGAACTTCCCATGGGGTAATACAAGGTCAACACAACATTTATGGTCCAAAAAGAGACACTTCTGAAAGCAAATGGGGTACTAAAACTAATTAACAAGTGGAACTGATCTCGAACAGGCACAGACTGGCCCGCTGCAGGGAAATGGAGACGTACAGTCACCCCAGCAAAAGGAACCACTGACTTTGTTTCTGGAGTCAGGAGGTGGCCATGAGAAATGGAATGACAGGGGTAAATGTAAGGCTTGTAAGTGGCTAAATATGCTGGGAAACTGAAAAAATCTAGGTGCATACTCCTTCAAAGAAAAGGTGAAATCTGGAGGGTTTGTTTGCAGCAACTGCTACGAGTTTCACTGCAAACAGAGGACAACAAGTAGAAGTGTTTGGAGGGAAGAGAGAGACAGGGACTAGAAGTGAGGACAGACGTTTGCAAACAACTCAAAGAGACTTACTCGTTGGGAGTGATGACAGCGGAGGACTCACAGCCCAGAGAAAACGCCATGATCAAATTCTCACTTGAAGTGTTATCTGTCCTCATCTTCTTTGATCCCCGACACTCACAGTGGGCAAGCCTTCCCAACTTCCCACCGGCCCAGCCAAATCTCAGAGAGCTCATGATTCCATTACAACACCAAATCGAACAACTCTAGCATGTCTTACATTCTCTAAAATGCTTTACATTTACTGATAAAAAATTGCCCAGGTTAAGTCTTAGATTTGAGCACTAAACCAGATAATATAAAAATTGACAACATAAAACCTCTCTCCCAAAATAATCTTTATTTTTGGCTAAGAGAGTAATTCAAATACTTTTGAATGATTTGATTACTTCTCAGAAAAATTTAGCTATTGCTTCCAACAAGAGCATCCAGCAAAGGAGGAAAAACAAAACTGGGTGTGAAAATACACAAATGAGGAAAATATTTAATGTTTTAAGTGTATACGGAGGAGAAATCTGGATGGCCGAGGATACAAGTACAACTCAGGCAAGCTAGGATCACAAAGAACCCCAGGATCCCAACACCGGGCAGCAAAGCACACAACTTCTCCAGAGCAGTCCCAGAAAGGTTGCTGCAAAAACAGCGACGATGGTTAGGCCAAGCAGTTAACCCCATCCTCTGCAGGTGATTAGGAGGAAAAACATGGGGAGAGTAGCAATTTTCTGCCATTCTATGCATGGGGGACTGCTTCCACACTCTCCGTGGCTCATGAGAAAATGTAAGTACAATACAAGCCTCACCGGCAGGTTCAAAGAAGCACCTGCTAGCCCTGATGTGCCAAGTGTCCTACTCGGTTGAGATCATTCAGAGCCCACAGCCAGAGTTTAAAGACTAAGGCCTAGTTAACGGATTTTGGATGGCACTATTCTCTATATGGGAGAGCTTCGGAAGATTAACTGTTCTTAGCTGTAAATTGTCTCCATCTTTTAATGCTGATTCCATTAACATTAAAGTGTGGACTGATTTCCACTTCAGCTGATCCACCTCAGCTGAACAAATAATAGAAACTGCTCATTTAGCCCAACACAGAAAATTTGCTTACTTTCAGATTTCACATTAATACAAGAAGAGAATAAAAAGAATTAAGAGTATTTTGTACTTAAAACACACTGGCTTACCCTACAACTGGCCCTTTCCCTAACTGCCTCAACATGAGAGGAAGAAAGACACAACTGGGCTTTGCATTCACTACTTTAAATCTTGCCTTCTCTAAGTCTGCACGAGAGAAAAGCGAAGCCAGGCACTTAAGAGGACAGGCTCAGGCAAATGAGAGTTTTAAAAAAACAAGTAGCACGCTTGCCCTCCGGCACCTTTCTCCTGCTTCCTCCAGATGTTGAAGCACACTGCCAACGTGTAGAAAGGGCTGAGAGTGTCTCAAGTGCAGAGAAGGAGAAGAGCCTTCACAGCCCAGTGAGACTTTCTGAACCTTTCAGCAACACTGTGTTTCTACACATCTGAGTCACACCCTAGTGAAGAATCAATTTTATGGCTAAGAGATAGCCTATGAACGCCAATGGCCACTTTTGCTCCACAAAAACAAACAAACAAACAAACAAACAAAAACCAGTTGTTAGTATGAGGACAACCTTCTTAGCTGAAGGACTGCTCACATCAAAGCCTTTATCTCCCCCAAGGGTGCTAAGAACCAGCAGAGGAAGGCAAAGCTTTCCCGACAAACACAAGTCAGGGATAAGGGGTTCAATATGCAAAGTCTTTTATTTAAAATTTGAAAAGTTAAGACTTACGACCACCTCAGGATATGCCATTCCCATCTTATACGGAGGAATGACGGTTTCAAACTCGTGCAGAGTTGCATTTTCATTTACAGAACTCTGTAGGCACTTTAGAAGTGAAGCTTGGCTTCAAAATACAAACACTGGGGGCTTTGGCTCAACCTTTTAATATAAAAAATTCACTGATGTACAAAAATGTGAAAGTGTGACAATGACAACGTATGAAATCCTGTGATTGAGAGTCCCCTTGAGTGTGCGCCATGGTGCCCGTGCACCCGCCCACACGTACCCTGGTGTGGAAACAGAAACTAATGCAAACCGTTGCTACCGAGAAGCGCCAACATGTGCATTCTGCACTCCAACAACCACAGACCAATATCTACGCCAAACATTCAGGAACGAAAAGTACGGCATCTTCCAGGAACAGCAAGGCAGACTTCTTACTCACGATGGACCAGCACGAATAAACCCAGCAAGAAGAGCACTGCATACTAGAAAAAAGACACAGAACACAAGTCAGGGAAGCTTTTAAAAGTGTCCAAGTCCTCAGAGTGCAGTCATGAGCTGGCTTTTGTGACCACGACCAATTACTAAACTAACCAATTAGTCCGTAGCCCACGTAATAGTTTCCAAAAGTGAGCAACAGAGCGCATGTTTAATGAAACATGTACTATAGGCTCTTACCTTAAATTTCGGATAGTCATTCATGAGGATCGTCACAATCCCAATATAAGGAACAAATCTAAACAAACAAGCAAACAGAAAACCGGTCATCACAGAACTTCCTCCATAGCCAGTCTCGTTTACCGAATATTCTCAATATCTTCCATAGAAAACGAATTTTCAGCTCACAAAGTCCATTTGTACAGACTGTCCTATTAGGTCCTTCCAACAACTCATGTGACAGGGAAGTTAGGAATACCATTTTACAGATGAGGAAAGAGATGCTCGTGCCTGAGGTATGTGATTTTGGTGCAGGAGAACCAGTACCAGACCTAAGGTCTCGGGCCTCCAGATGGGGACTCTCACGCTACATGTGGATTCAGTGCTTGGGGCTGGGTTTGTTGTCATAACCTTCCGGGAGTGGTCAATCTGGCTAGGGCAACAACGCAAACACGGCCAGGTCATTACAAGGTACTTCATGTTAAGAGTCCAAAAAGTGAGTGTAAGAGCTCCATTATAGTACTTAAGATTTCGCCACCCTCTCATTTGTTAACTACCTGTAATCTGGCTCTTGCTCTCCTGATCCCGAAACTTCTTCCAGAACAGCTTAAATCGCCGTATGCAGTAGACCAGTCTCACCTCCCATCTTCCTTTTCATTTCTGCAGAATTTGACTTTGAGGACCACAAACTTCCCTTGAAATCCTCTCCCTCCTTGGCTTCTCGAACACACCACAAATCCATTTTTCCACCTACCTATTGGCTGCTATCCCTTTTTCACTAGCTCTTTCTTTCTCTTTGCCCCTAAAGTTTATCCCCTTAAACTAGATATAGATAAAACCACCTGTTAAATAATCTCATAGACCTGATGTATTTCCTTTGGAGTCTTTACCACACTTTTTTATTACATAATTGGTTGCACAACTAGCGGAATAGTGTCTGTCTCTCCTATTCGACTCTAAGCTCCATAAGGGCAAAGACGATGCCAGCCTTGCTCCCCACTGTCTCCTCAAGGCCAGATGTAACCCCCGTACACAGTAGGCATCCAGTAAACACCGCCTGATGGAATGTCTGGATGTCCAGGCCTCTTCTCCTCCTTTCCCTTGGAGATCTCATATACTCCCGGACTTCACTTCTCCCCCCAAGAGAAGACACTCCATAACCTCGTAAGAATTCAGGGGAGAAAGGCAACGTTAGCAGGGTAGGGTACTGTCACTGTGGGAGGAAACGGCAGTTAGCAAATGCACAATTTTCTTCTTTCTCCTCCTCTTTTACTACTGGACTCTAGAATGGGCCCAGTGATACTGACCTAGACCTTGTGCTAGAGGAGGGAGGTTGGGCTGAGGTGGAGACTGAACTCTGCATACTTTAAAATAGCCCAAATACTTCTACTCAGGGCATCCACAACCTGTGCACCATCATCCCAAAGGTGCACAAACAAATCACCTCCCACATAACACCTCCACTATCAAAGCCTTAGGCAAGCTTGAAAAACAGAAATTTCGTCTTTTGGTGCACTTCCTTCCTTTGAAGAACTCCTCTTACTTCCTGTCTCCTGTCCTCACCCCGTCTGCCCCTCTCCCTTATGGCAGCATTACCAGACACCCCCACCCCCCGACCTCTCCCCATCCCCAAACTTCCATTCCATAAGTTGATGTTTCCTAAAACCAGGCCTCCTTCATCAGAATCACTTGGATAGCCTGTTAAAAGTGCAGATTGCTGTATCTTCCTCACATTTACTGAGTCAGAGCATCTGTGGAAGTGAGGCCCAAATAATGCTTCTGCACACTCTAGCACCAGCTCAGTTCTAGCTAGTGACATGCCTGGAACAGCCAGGTGGTGGCAAATAACATCCCTTCCTAGGACCCATGCTTTGGTTTCAACCCCTGGAAGTAAAAGTCCCTACAGGATGGCAGAGCTAAGCTCTAGGATGGTAGACAGGGGTTTTCTATGTTTTTAAATACGTATTTTTTCTTTGTAATACAATAGCTTATTTCTTTTGTCTCATCAGATCTTCATAAAACCAGTAGCTTTCAGTAAACGTCTTAAATCATCTAATTTAAGAAGGTGAAGGCAGATGCCTCACAGTAATATGCAGACTAAAAGCTACAAAAGTATCTGTGATTTCTACTAAAACAGTATCAGGCTGCTGATTCTGGTCTGATGATCAACCAGCAGCCATTCTCACAGATAGAGACCTTCACTGTTCCCTCCACGCAGTATCCATGCTCAGAGAACCTTTAGTTCCCAGTGATCACATAGCCTGTTTATGAGTTATTCATGGAAATATTTTTCCCCCCTGAGGTGTGTTTTTCCTTGCCCCACCATAAGAGAAATGGAAGCAACTTGGCCTTTAGGGTAATGTAAGCAAATAATATGACAGGCAGTCCAAAGTCAAAGAAAAGATTTAATTATTTGTCTCACTGTTTCCCTCCATGAACAGAGCCAGCAAAGGGTTGCTAATCAAGTACATAATGCTGCTACCATTAGTCATCTTCAGTTCAAATCAGTTGCACTTTTTTCCTACGCTGCTTGGAGAAACTCTGCTAAAGCAGAGTTGACAATAAGCAGAAGAAGGTTTAAAGAAGTCAAACATGCCACCCACAAAGCCAGCTCCAACAGCAGCCTGTGCTGAGTTAACATCTAGAAGGCAGAGTGTAGAGGAATACATGCCCCTGGGAGGTGCTGGTGAGGAAGGAGCCTCAGATGGAAGAACTACCTGCTGATATTTGGAGAAAATAATTTTGTCAGATGTCAAAGGGGCCTCTATCCGGGAAGCCTGGACCCCGGTAGCTGACTGAAAAACGATCACTGTTTTTACCCCAGAATGAGCTGTTTCAAACGTTAAGTAAAAAGTACATTTTAAAAGCCTCATCCTTAAAACTGGTTTTAGTCAACAGAGAGCTCAATTACTGCTTCCCTTCTACATCTCTTTTCATTGTTAATATTTTCTGTTCCCGGCCTCCGGCCTCTCACCCTTTTCTCCTCTTGCTCCTACTTTTCTTTCACAAACAGCTCCTCCTGTGTTTTCAACCTCCTCAATTGAGAAAGAATCACCCCCTATTAAATACTTAGTTGGTTCAGTATTAGTTTCATTTTCTAAAATGGTTTTTATTAAACACTGCAACATCAACAAACATCGAAGACACGATGCTGGGTGAAAGAAGCCAGACGTAAATTAAGAGCACATATTGTGAGATTCCGTTAATATAAAATGTCCGGAACAGGCAATCCACAGAAACAGAAAGTAGCTAAGTGGTTGCCAGGGGCTGCAGGGAAAAGGGGATGGGCAGTGACTACAAATGAGTATGGAGTTTTCTTTTTGGGGTGTGGCTACGTTCTGAAATTAGACAGTGCTGACAGCTGGGTAACCTTGTGGATATAATAAAACCCACTGAATCGTATACTTTTATTTTTTTTATTTTTTACTTTTTAAAGATTTTACTTATTTATTTGACAGAGAGAGAGATAGCGAGAGCAGGAACCCAAGAAGGGGGAGTGGGAGAGGGAGAAGCAGGCTTCCCAC